ACACTTATGCCACAGAAATGCTGTGGAAACAACATCTGCTCAAGCAGAAGCCCGACTAGGAAATGAGAAGGAGGCACGACCCATGACATGGGCTGCTTGTGTTGAATAACCAGAGGCAGGGGGAACAGAAATTCAGAATTTGAATGTAAAGGAGCACTGACAGGGCACATTTCGATAGGCTGGCTACAAGAGGAATTCACAGGCGTTGGGGGTAGAGGGTGGGGGAGAAAGCATTTGCTCATGAGTAAACAAGGCTTACTTCAGTCAGCAGGCTCCCACATCCCTGGATCTTGCTGCTACTCAGTTCCTATTTCTACCCTTAAACCGTTTTCTGTCAAACAGAAAGTATCTGACCATCCTGGCTGCTAACAAACAGGTACGATTTTGGACGAATTGCATGGAAGAAATGTTCCCCGAGAAGGGTCAATATGAGAGTTAAAGCTGGTGACTTTGATGGAAGATGGAAGGCAATGGGCATGTTAAAACTAGAGAAGACCAAAGGAAGAGTGCAAAGTAGGCCATCTGTGGCACAGCCATCAGAGGAAAAGCCATCTGTGAAGAAAAGCTACAGAAAGAATTCCTGGCTATTAGAGTTGCCTACCAAGAAAATATGCCACCCTGCTTCGTAGTGAGTTCCCCATCACCGAGAGGTTCAAGGGGAGGTAGGCATGTACAGTAGGAAACTCCTGCATCAGCTAAGACAGCCGACTGCATGCTTTTTCTAAGATCCACGCCAACCCTTTGAGAAAGCTTTGACTAATCAACCTACTATAAAGTATGGATGGTCTCCCTTCTCTTCTTAGGGGTACAGTCATGAACCTGACACTAAGAGGAGCCCCTTGATATTACAGAAGAGCACAATGATTAACACCAGTGACGGAAATAATGGAGATGACTGGGTCATCCTCCGAAATGTCTCCTCCCAAACCGGCTGGGAGGGCAAGAGCCACAGCCCAGTTTTCTATCCTACGACTCTCCCCTTCCTTCTCCTTGACTTCCAAGGCGGAAGAGCTCTTCTCACCTTGAAAACCACAGTACAACCACAGGAAATGAAAGCTCTCCTTTCCTTTTCTTCCCACTTCCCCTTCCCTTCCCTTTCTTTTCCTTTTCTCAGCACAATGGAATTGCATTACCCCATGCAGTGCACTGGGCTGTGAAGCTTTGTGGTGCAGTACCATTTATCAGAACCAGGCCCGCACTCCTCCAGCGTGGGTATGCCCATACGTGGAGTGCCCACTTCTGCACTGCACAGGTGTGTATGAATAAACACACAAACCACTGCACCAATTTTAAGAACTAGAAGAATAAATATGCTTCCTATTTGTATTGGTTTGCTCAATAAAGTCAAACACTATAGAGGAGAATGTAAAATTCACATGAATTTTCAGGATTCAATAAAGGATTTACACTGGGGGGTATTTATGGCTATATTTACAGATCCCTGAAGGAATACATTCATTCTCCACAACAGGACACTTTTGGTAGAAAAGTTTAATAAGCAAAGATTTACTCCATGACTTTTAGACAGTGATTCTTGCCTTTTCTCTTTGGTTTTCCTATGTGGAAGTGCAGAAAGAAAGATGGTTCCCTGGAGATACGCTGTGCTTAAAATCAGCTGTAAGAATGATTTCGGTTTTGGTCTCTAGGTCATAACCTTCACCTATTCATACAAGTCTCCAATTCTTCTAACTTCTTATATAGATATTTAAATGCATTAATTTTCAGTTTCTCACCTGCAAACATTACAAAGCTGTCTATAAACACAGAGGTGCACAAAGCTGCTTTAGCAATCCTTATACTCAAAGCGGGATAAGTAGCCATGAAACCCTCCTTGCCCTACAGCCACACAGACGCACGATCTGGGAACAGGGCAGACTACCAAGGGCAGGCCTTGGCTGGGTCTAGGTGAGACAGGCAGCGTTCTCCGCGTATAACTTGAGAAAGTGGAAAAATGCCCTTCTCTATTATTCAGTTATGGCAGCTGAAGTTTCAGGCACTGGTCCAAGCATTTCCATGTGCTGTCTCATGCTTATAAAGCAGGTTTTACTATCCGCAATTTACATGTGAGGAAACTGACGATCAAGGGTATGAAAGTGGCCCAAGCCAACTCCCTAACTTATAAGCAACACAAATGGGATTCAAACTCAGATCCGACTTCAAAGTCATATCATTTTTTTCCACCATACCATAGGTTTTTTCCCCAATATCACTCTTCTTCCTCCTTCTAGTGTGCTTTAAACACTCTTTTTTTTATTATTACAGTAATTACTGGATTCCTTACCATCCACCTAAAGTTCAATCTGAGGCTTTCATTTCCTATTAGCAATTATGATGCTGGGCTAGGGTGTCAAATGTGTGGCTGCTTTGTTCTCACAGAATCTTCTACTGTGTTGGGATTATGTAACTGCTATTAGGGCATAATCGATGCTTCAGCTCTCCGTAGGCGGGTCTGATGCAAAAGCACCCATGTATCAATCAAACCAATCTAAGCTCTAGCATTATAGCTCTCTTTCCCTCACAGGTACTGTGAGGGAAACTCGGCTGATTTGTGTGTAGCGGGCCAAGGGTAATAACCATAAAAGAAGTAGCCTAAATCTTCCCTGCAGTAAGATCGAAAGGTCCGTAAGCTGTTCCTATTATATAGTTAGATAGAAAAGCCACCCTATCAATCTGTCCTGGGTAAAATAAAATGGAAAACCAATGATCCAAATTGATTTTTATTTTCAACATCTCTGGATACAGATACAAGGCTATCTTATTCCAAGAAGTACTATATCACCACACACACCTTTTTCAGTTTGTTTGTTTTTAAATCATTGATTCTCTCTTCTTTTTTCTCTGAATCTATTAATTTTTAAAAAATCAACTGTCCATTTTCCTCTTTCCCTCCACACGAATAGCTTCACTCTGTGGCTGGTCTCTTTGCATGAAACATCATTATAATCTCCCCAGTGTTTTCTCTGATGACTAGATTATTCACTCCACGCCCCTCATAACTCTGTTTATAATTTTGTTTCCCTATCAAAGTCAGTTTCACTGCTCATTCCAGATAGGCACTCAGCCAATATACTGCCAATAACACTCACTCTTGTGCTAACTTAAAATACACAGTGCAGCTTGCCAAGTTTCCTTATTTGGCAAGAAGGTCCCTTAGTTCCCAAGATCTTTAACCATCCATTTTTAGATCCAAATCCGTGTACTTAATATTTGGTTATTTCTCTCTCGAGTGCGTGTGTGTTCTCTCGTTCTCTCTCGCTCGCTCTCCCTGCCTCCCTCTCTTTAATATGTCCTTACATGTTCCCTAAAAGATTAAGAAAAAGAGGTCAACCACCTAATTTACTTTCCTGGACAAGAAAAAGACATCCTTGCCATTGCATTATGGTCATTTACTCTGGAATTATTAGCACTAAAACTTTGATTTAAACAGTATTTTCCAATTAAAAAAAACTCCCCAAAAGTTATAGTAGGAATTAAATTGTTTAAGAGTAAAATAAACAGTACACATTGCTCTGAAAGACCATTTTTCTTTATCTTAATTCCCTCTTTCCAAACAAACTAAATTCATATGCATTTACAATCTCCCAAATCCCTCACTAGAGGAGCAAGAATTTAAAACAAAGGCTCTACGAATGACCAAAATCATAATTAAAATGCAGCCGTCACATTACTTTCTTGAAAATCAAAAACCATGAAATTTCACTGTGGAGATGGGCCCATTACAAAGAAAACGGTAGATGTCTTGAATCACCTGTTTATTTTTGTCTTTAAATGTGTTTGTAGATTTGGATCCCCTGAATCCTGGCTGTTCAAGTCAACCAAGTTCAGGAAAGCAAGAAGGCTCTCCTAAAACAGCTTTAAAATATCAACACACTTGAACAATCAATCATCTTAGCTCAAATATCCTCGAATTAATTCTGTAAGTCGATTCTAATACAACATTATTGCTGAGAGAGCTGCTTATGGTAGTATCACTTGGAATGAGCCACTAAATGGTGTTGCTTTCATTATTAAAGAGACTAACAAAAATAGTAATTAAGTTCTCCATAAACAGTGCTTTTGAGGAAGGTCTCCAGGCGCATCAGAAACATACATTTTTCAGCACTCTAACAATGATTGCACCCTTCCTGTTTTATTTGGCAATTCGATGTCATCTCGCCAGTTTTGGATTAAAGTTTTTCTGTAAGCTGTCAGGAGCAGCGAGGCGTGGCGGCGGCCTCAGCGTTTCCCTCTGGGCCTGGCGCTGGTCTCAGAGCCCACGAACCCGTGGACGCCACAGGGTCGGCAAAGGGGTGACCCTCGGCTCCCGTGGAAGGAAAAGGGGGACGCTGGGGGTAAGGGTGGGAATCGGGTGGGCGCCGGTTCCACGGTGCCCAAGGCAGGGCAGGGCGCAGCCACTCTGTGGGGGAGCCATCGCGCCCGGCCCGGCAGGAAAGCAGAAGTTCATGTCCCCCCTCGCACGCACAGACCTCTGCTGGGAAGTGGCCTGCTCCCTGCCCTGATTTGGGCGACTCGCGTCTGCCTCCCGAGAAGTGCCCCGGTCAACCCACCGCGAGGCCCCGCGCTCCGGAGCTACCCGCCTGGGGTCGCGGGCTCGGTGGCCGGGAGCCCCGCGTTCGGTGGGGGGAGCTTTGGCCCGGGAGCGCCCCAAGCCCGCGCCGCGCGCCCAGGGCTGAGAATCCCGGAGACGCTCCGAGCTGCGCCCTGCTTTTTCTGGTGCCAACTTCTGCGTGGGACCGGCCCGAACTTCCCGAGCCGCTCGTGGCCGAGCCGCAGCTGAGGTCGGGCGCCGAGCCCGTGGGAGCCCGGAAAGCTCGCTCCGGCCGCCGCCGCCCGGGCGGGCCCCAGTTCGGGGACGGAGGACCCCGTGTGGCTCCGGCAGGCCGGCCGACCTCCCGGGCCCCGACCCCGGCTGGGCCTCGGCCCCGAGATGTCCGGACTCGCGAGCGCAGCGGGCCTCCCTCCGCACCCTCTCCCTCCGCGGCCTCCGGCCGGGCCCTTACCTGGCTCCCGGGCCGGGCGCGAGAAGCAGCCGGGGGCGCAGAGGCCCCGCGCGCGGCGAGGGCAGGAGCGGAGACGGGAGGGCGAGAGGACGGCGGCTCGCGCGGCTCCCACGCTTCCGCCAGAGTCAGGAGTTGAACATTCCGCCTCTCCGTCCCGCGCCAATGAGGAAGACAGTCGCGGCAACAGCACCACCTACCTCCGAGCGCGGAACGACCGGGTCTCCTGCCCGCGCCCCGCACGCCCGTGGCCCGGCCGCAGCTCAGACGCGTGGGCGAGCTGGGCGTGGGGCGGGGCTTGGGTCTCCCGGGCCTGCACCCCGAAGGGCACCTTTCTCCCCAAGCCCCTGGAACCCATCAGGCAGCCGGCCGCCGCTTGGCGGAGGCCATCTGCCTTATTGTGGGGAGCGCGCGGAGGGGGACCTGTGCCTCTGCTCCCCTTTGTACCCTCACATCTTTCTAACAAGTTACCACCACCTATCCCGTCAACTCAGTCCTTATCAACAAATATTTCCTGTGAAATAGGCTCTGGGAATACAAAGATGGGAGGCTGCCTTGTGCCCTGCAGGACTTAATTATCTAGTTAGGAAGGGGACAGACCTGTAAAGATATTTCTGAGGAGAGAGGGCTGAAGGCTGCCTCAGTGGGACCATGATACCTACAGAATTTGAGGAGGGTCTGCTGCCCTGGTCGGTGACTTGAACAATGCTGAGTTCAAATGAGGACGCTGGAATTCATTCCAGGTGTGAGCAAAAGGTGGAAATAGCTATTGAGAAGAAAAGTAATTGTTGATTGGAAAGGATGGTTCTGTGGAGGAAAGGTGAGAAGAGGTTGCAAAGGTATGGGCGACGTTATTCAGGTGGTTGAGTTTGGATTTCGTCATCTATGGCCACTGGGGAAGCGTGGGAAGCTAGAACCAAAAGGATCGAATTAGGTCTTTACGTTTTTATTTTACCGGTTATTTAGAGAGGGAGAGAGCAGTCCACGTGGTTGTAGGATGGTTGCCAGGGCAAAGCCGGGAAGCAGCATGAGTGGTAAATATTGTCACTACCTAGAAATGAGATTGTGAGGACTTGAGTTACAGTGTACAAAATGGAATTAGAAAAGAAGGAATTGAATTGAGAGACCTGTTTCCGGAAGCCACAGAAATTGGTAACCTGTTAGATGTAGAAGACAAGAAGGAAAGAGGCACAGATGCTGCTGCCAAGATTTCAGACCGGGATGACTGAAAGAACGATGGTGTCATGGACAGAAATAGGGACATGTGGAGGGGAAGTTGGCTTCCTGTTGAGTTGAGATCATGGGAAGAAAAACAGGTAGAGATGCAGCAGTTGAAACATGATATTGAGGCTCAGAAAAGACATCAAGAGGGAAATATCATTGTAAATCATTCGCATAGTTAAAGATATGAGAGTGGAGGGATGGGTGAATACAGGTAAAAAGACAGCTTTCTAGTCTGTAATGGGTACAAGCACATACTGGCAGCAGCTGGCACCTTATTGGCCAGCGGTCTGCTATTCAGGTTAATTATTGAATTTTCCCTTTGATAAGGATTACAAATTTCAGCATTGCTAGATTCTATTTTGGTAACTGAGAAATGCGGATAAATGAAAACTGTCATGCTAAAAAATGTCCTGATGTAGGTAATCAAATAAGTCTAAAAACCATCTACACATTAAAGGGAAAACTACAGCTCTTGAACATAGACCTAAGCATAAGGCGACTCCAGTAGTTTTACTCCACCTTCAAAGGCACTACATTGTAATACAGAAAGGAAAGTAGACTGGGGATCAGAGGACCTGGTTTGTGGCCTTAATCCTGCTGCTCATGAACTGGGGTACTTTGCTAGACAGTCCTCAGTTTTCTCCTCTGCAAAATAAGGCCCAATTAGTGTTACCTACAGTTCCAGTTTTAAAACTATGAATGTATTGTTTAAATCTGGAGCGCATGCCTTAAGAGTCAATACTTTCTGCCATATGCCCCCTCCTTTCCATGCATTTTTTTATTCATTCCAATTCCCCCTCATAATTAGACTAAGAGACTAACTAGCAGGAACAATGAACACCAGAGGAGTCTCACAAATATGCTTAAATGATAACCTGGTAGGCATTCTCTAGCCTTCCCAATTATGCTGCAAGCTCCTTGAGGTTATATCTTCTATTCTATTGTATCTGTCCACAGTTGAAATAAATAATTGTGTGATAAACTATCTCAAGTGTGACTCTTCCTTGATCAAGCCGTCTGTTTCCTAATGACTACACTGATCTCTAGGCCCCAGACCTAATGCTATAGCTTAGTGCTTGTTCCCATGGCCGGCTCTGTGTCTTCAAACTTTCAAATCTTTTTGAAAGCATCTTGATTAATTCTCACCTGTATAGGTTTACAAATGTAAATCGCAATTGCAAAAGAGTCCTAGTCAAACTTTTCTTATGAAGCCTTCCTATTCCTTTATTTCAAATATCTCTACACTAAAAATAGATGTACTCTCAGGAGTGGGGTTGATTGGGAGTCCTTAGCACCCACTTATATCCAAGAACACCCTCCGAAATGAACATGCAATGACAGTAAAAATAGTGTATTTGCTATACAAATTTAGCTTAAAGAAAAAGTCTCCTAGTCCCCCATTCAATTAGATTGTTGTCCTTAAGCGCCTCTTAAATAGAAATTCTGGAACTGCCACCAGCTATCAGTGGATCAGAGAAGTGCAGACATAATTTCTATTAAGGATAGAAGGAAAGGCAACTTAAAAGGAAAAAAGCGTTCTGAGTATCCTCCTCCCCCCTCCCTCCTTGCCCCATTACTGTGATAAGAGCTGCGGTGAGAGCTTGTATCCAGGAGTATTTTCTCTAGCCATCTCATTCCTCGAACTTAAATTGTGAGTAGTCTGTGTCTAGATCATATCTAAGAAATAACCACCTTTTATATGAAGGTTGGTGCTTTAGCTCCTGCTCAACTCTGAATACCTGGGAAATTAAAGCACGCAATCAAACATCAGTTAAGATATGTACCCATTAACTTAAAATCACAAATGAAGCCATGTCATTGTTTGAGCTTAGTTTTCACTAAGTTTTCATCTAACTTGAGGACTGAAGAATTTACAAGAATATTTTGGGTACCAAATTTGCTTAGGGCATAAAAGGAGCAGTGGGACACAAAGACTTTTGCAAACTTTATTCCACAAACATTTACTGACTGGCAGGTGTGGTGCTGAGCTTTGTGATTATAACAGTGACTCCGATGTGGTCCCTACTGTCACAGAGTTTTCAGAGTGCAATGGAAAAGCCAGAAAAGAAAGACACAAGTAATCATACTTCAAAGTGCCCTGAGAGCGGCAAAACGGGGGCTCACACCAGGGCACCTAAGAGTTTTGGGAGGTCAATGAAGTTTTCCAAGACAAAGAACTTCTAAGTCCCTCGGAGAAGCATGGAGAGAATTTTGCTAGACAAAAAGGAGGGAAAGGTATTACAGCAAGAATAGGAAGTACAAAGGCCCAAGAGCATTTAACAGGTTCAAGGAATAAATCTATTCAACATCTGAGTAAAGACATTGCCAGGAGGGAGTAATAATCATCAGGCAGTAGTAACAGCAGCAGTAACAATAATAATAATGATTACTACCACTAGTAGTAGTAATCATTAATATTTACTGAGCGTTCATATGCCATGCACTGAGCTAAGAGTTTTGCACTCATAGTCCCTCTTCATTATAAACACTCCATTAGATTATGCCAATGCATAATCGTGAGTCTTTAGTAGTCATTCCTTTCTCTTTGATATGTTGGTTGGTTGGTTGGTTGGTTTTGTTAACTGATATGCCCCATCTCTATGTTTTCTTCATTCTGCTTGTCTCCAAAACGTCTACACCTAAGCGATATAGTTCTGGACCACCTAGAGAGGAGGTAGTGGGGTAAGGGAGTGACTACTTCCCAGGAGCTTGCCCAGGCCCGCTCAAGAGTAGATTAACTGGTGTATTATAGCTAGAAAATCTTGATCAAATTTCAAGGTCACTTTTCTATCCACACTTCTTTCTCAAGTTGAAATTTTTCCAATGAATACTTTTATAAGTTCTATTTACTTTTTTATATTTTGTTATCATTGGCTTTTCCCTAACTTTTTAAGGTTCGTTTGTATTAAGCCTCTGTCTGCATTGTTGTTTGTAACACCTTCCAATTTAGTATAATCTGCAAATTTCATTAACATGCTATTTACTCCCTCTTCCAGATCATTAATAAATGCTATTTCTTATGTATTAAATTTTGCGGTCGAATAGATTTAATTTGCTGTTGTAATTTCAATGCATGTTTTCTAAAGATACAATGCAGTTAAGAATGGTCTTAACATAGGCTTAAACCCATACCCAGTTTATAGTTATTTTACTATTATGCAATCCATTTGTGTTCTCTAATCAGCACTGTTGTGAGCTCCATTGAAGCAATAATCTATTGATTTTTTCTTCCCTCTTTTTCAATACAGTCATCATCTTGGCTTTAAATGCACAGCAATAGCAGAGTTAGAACTATTGTTGTACCCTAATCCATAGTTATTTATAAAAGGAAATCAAGGCTTTTTTCTCAGTGGATATTCTTCCATTGATATAAGAAATATTTTACATTAAAATTATTTTATAATGATAATATTTGATTTTCCTATGCATGGCCTCAATGTTCTAAACAGCAATAGATTTTAAATATTTGTTAAAGTAAATGTAATATGTATGTTACATTATATATATTATATAAATATATCACATATATTTATATTGTGTATTTTATTTTCTAATAAATCTGCTCACTGACCCCCTGACTCCTAGAGAATCTGGGGTGACTTTGTTTTTTATTCTAGACTTAGACGTGCCACCTTCAAAACAGAGAATGAGATTCATTAAGCCTTTGCTTCACTTTATGTCACATATCATCCTACTTATAGCTCTCTATAGTGACAGTTTTCATTTTCAATGAGATGAGGCTTTCTACATGCCACTTATTTCTGTACTTATATTCACATATTGCAATTTTAAATCATTATGCATGAGACTAGTCTTCTTGTTTCTACATAATATTTCCAGGAACTGTATTTTTCTTTCCCCTCATTATCAATAAGTTTTTCTCTGTTTTCCCCCATAGTGCTAACTGAGTATATGCCCATGGTAATCTTTCTTTTCCACATTGAAAAATTTATTTAACCTCTA